AACTTGGAACTCTGCAATATCATCCCTAACATATGGGAAAACCATGAAACAGCTGCCAGAGGACAGTTTGCTTGAAAAATGGGATCCCGGTGCAAGACTGAATAATTATTACTGACAAAACCAAAAATTTTAAGAAGCACGCAAAATGCTAAATCCGCTATAATTAGCACTTTGAGAAATCCACCAAAAGATTGAAACCAAGCATTATTGCTTTTCAAGCTTAAAAGTATCACACGCAGTTTAGATTTTCATCTCTTTGAGATAAAAGGCAAAACTTTACTTACACTTACAGGTTCTGTGCGACCGTTACGGGACATTCACAAGCTTATGACAACTTTCTGCAGCTGATCCCAATTCCGGGGTCAGCCTTTCAATCAAAGTTTCAACTCCTCATTTTTTTCAGTATCAGAATTCTATGTGCATTTGATGTGGAAACATTGGAAACTCCCATCTTGTTGAGAGTTATCATGTAATTTGAATTCAAGGCCAAAAGCTCATGGCTGAGGAACGGAATTCCTGCTTCTGCTATACCTTGACAAGAACACCCTGGCACTGCAAGAAAGTGATCTCTTTACCGCAGAAGTCTCTTTTTGCGATGATCTCTCCACCGAAGAACAACCCTCCGATCTCGACAAGCACTGCTCATTGCCAGCTCCCTTTGGAGCAAGACCCATACTTGATCCATTCATTTGCATATTCTTGTTGTCTGAGTTTCTGTCACATTGTGGTGGAAATGCATTAGCAATAGCAGCACTAACTTTGAAGGCTGATAAGGAATCCATCGAAACTGATCTTCTGAGCGGTTGAATTCCTTCCTCCTCTCTGGCACCACTATTTCCCACATCTTCCATGAAATTTTCATTTCTCCTCGATGCATTTCCGGTTCCTACCCTTGATTCATCTTCCTCTTCCACCTCAACACCGACTTCAAGAACCTCACTTTCCCTTTCTCTCTCGGAATCCCTATTATTTTCCGAAACTCCCATTTGGATTTCCTCCACACGACCTGAATTATGATGACTCTGCGACGAAGACTGGAGGTTAGCCGTGCTCACAACAATCCCAGCTCGGCAATTGGGGCAATTGGTGTGTGATCTGAGCCAAGTATCAATGCAAGGTATATGAAAAGCATGATTACACTTGGGCAGCAGCCTTAAAGTCTCATCTTCTTGAAATTCATTCAAGCAAACAGAGCACTCTGTTCCTTCCACCAGTCCATCACCTCTTTTATACTTACAAATAGTGATTGCATTAATCACAGACGACTGAAGACCAACTGTCCTGATATACCATATGGGATGGTCAACCACGGGACCCTGATCTTCATCAAGAAAATCCAGATGGGCTTCTTCATCCTCTCCAGGCTGCTGCTGGGGCTGTGGAATCAATTGCCTACTCCTTGAAGACGTATACCGACGTTTATAAAACTTGTATATCATGTAGATAGAGAAAATCAAGAAAGTTGTGGCTAAAACACCAAGAGACACGGAGAGGGAGACATAGAGTCCAGATGGCTGGGTAGAATGCTTGCCATCAGAAAGCAAAGTATGATCAGGAGGTGGTGGAGGCAGACCGGGAAAGAGTGGATGGTTGCAGGTTGGATAACATTGGAGTATACATCTGACCGGACAAGATCCGTCTAGGTTGTGTACAGGATCACAGAAAGATAGACAAAGTCTTTCAACTGAATTCTCGAGAGAATCATTAAGCAACTTCCTGTGGTGGAAGGACATGGCTCATTTGATTTTCATAACAGTGATTTTTCTGGGGTGTTCTTGGTGGGGTGAAGGAAGGAAGAAAGGAAGGGAGGAGGGGTGGGGGCCTGGGGATGGGGCTGGGGGTGGAGGTTGGATGAGGATTGAGATGGATGGAAGAGTCGGCGAAGGCTACCACTTGGAGTTGGAGTGTTGCTGAATGTTGACTAAAGCTAATACTTTTTCGTTTTTTTTTGTCAAAAGAAAAGCTTTTCTTTTTTCCTAATCCGGCCATTTGTTGATCTTGACTTCTACGAAGGTCCGTCTAACTTTGAAGGCGGCAGATCGTCCTTGCATGTCTTATTTCCCTATATAATCCGTATTGTATTGGAAATTGCAAAAGTAATACAAAGTTCTGAATTTTCTCAAAATAAAGATTTTACTTTGAAAAGACAATTTCAAAATCACAATTTTAGATGGCAAATTCACAGGTTATTTATTCTTCATTTCTCTCTAGATTCCTTGTTCTAAAGTGGTCTATAGTCATCATTTCAAATATTCGCTTGAAAGGATCGATCTATAATAGTAATTTTTAAGTTATCTTTTGAAATAACGAAATCTTTATTTTAAAAAGAATTAAAAATTTTGGAATTTCAAATAAATATTGGATTAAATAGGTAAAATCCCATCAAGCTCACTCCAAAATGGTCACTTTGTTTTTCTTTAGTTTTTATCCATACATGGTCATGTAGTTTTTTGGGTTAATTACAGTTTGCTTCCCTGAATTTGATCCATTATAACACTCTACCCCCCTGAACTTTAAATATATACACTTTGCCCTCTTCATTGATTAATCAAATTAATGATGAATTCTCCATCCAAAATTTTAACAACATAACATTAATGTCCTTACATAATAGTTCCATAATAATACTATACTTTTAATTGAAATATGAAACATCTTATTAGAAAAAAAACACAAAGTCACATGATTTAAAAAAATAAAAAAAAAATACAAGATGGTATAATATCAAAGAATTGAAAATTTGTATTGCAGAAAAAAAAATTTAAAAATTCTTAGAACATCTGCCCAAATTTTCCATCACTTATCTTTCTTCCTTTAAATTGTAAACGGATTGATTTTAATAATTTTCATTTACGTTGCAACTTTCACAAGATTTTCAAGAGTCAATAAAATGCTATTTGGTAATTTTATACCGCATTCATACCTTGCTGTGTATTTTGTTTGAGTTCTATATTTTAAAAAATAAAAAATTCTCTAACTATGTTTTTCAATATATTTTTATTTTTAATCATGTTTTTATATTATATAAAACACATTAAAAAGTACTACAATAAAAAATAAAAGCAAATAATTTTTATTCCATATGTACTAATTAATTTTTATTTCATTTAAAATAAGTACTACTATCGGCAATGAAATAAATACATTGTATATTTTTTTGGAATCAAGGCGTATTTACATTTTGATTCACACGTGAAAATTCTCCTTGATTATGTGGACAGCAGTAGTATTGTGTAACTGTGTTGCAATTGTTGGGTTAGTCCAAATTCAACTGCATAGTGGTGAATGACGCTCATTGTTGTTTCTTTCGTCTATATGGGCATTACCTTTTTCTTTTTCTTTTTTTTAAAAAAAAAAAATTTTCAGCGCAAAAACAAAAAGTGTTTAAGTTAGATTTAAGAGAGTTGTTGGCTAGTTTCAACTTATTAGTGCATTATGCTCACAAATAGGGAACAAATAAGCGCAGTAATGCCACTGCCTTCTCTTGTCTCCGCACATTAATTCCAAAGAACTTTCAACCGAAACACTACGGTAGAAGCTGGTGAACTCACCATGAGAAAAGATCCATTTTCCAATGGATAAATATTTTCTTTAGCTCAAAACTTCAGCATTGTAATTATAATTCTCTAGTTAAATTTTTTTAAAAAAATATATATATATATATTGGCATGGCCCTCCACATGAGCACAACTTTCTTTCCTAATTTTGAATGGGAACAACCATCATTTTATTTCAGTCAATTGTTTTACATTTGATAAATGCTCCAGCTGGAGAAGTAGAACCAGCAATGCATGTGGGAGCAGTTTAATTTGGTCAACAACAAGGTACATTTTTTAAGTAATTGGTTCCGAATCTGAGTTCATAAAGGAGTTTTCTAGCCATCACAAGTTGGCTTAATTAACGAGAATGAGTCATTTTCTTGTAAAAAGTTGTATGCTCAAAATTAGCTGTTAATGTGACGGTTGTGTTGAAAAAGAATCTGTGAGAATCTCTGTAAACGACCTATGGTCCGGAGAGATATGCCTTGACTCATAGTGATGACCGGAGTCGAACCACCCAAATTTTAATTTACCCAAAAAAAAAAAAATGGAGTTTCTGAAAAAGCATCCACAACCATTAAAACAGCTTGCCTATTTGACCTATCTGATAATGACTTCCAGGCTGATATTACCCGCAGATTCTTCAAATCCGGCTGCCTCGTACATGAAATTCTTTCCCTGAAAAATGTGGTGCTGATTGTAAGAGTCGACTTGATGAACAGTAATAAAAGGTACTGATATTTATTAGTTTGCCAACAATAATCAAATTTAGCTTAACATAGTAAACGAAATTAATCTCGTGCTTAATTTCAGTTTTCAATTCTAGTGGTGGTACGTTTGAAGTAGAAGAATCAGATTGAATTTGATTAATGCAACCCTGCCATCTTTGTTTGTTTGTTTGTTTGTTGATGATTATACTAAATAGAATACATTAGTATGGTTTATATTTTGATTGTTCAGCTGCATTTTGCACGAATGATAAGAAGTCAGTTCGTGATATAATTAATTACTAATGGATCGTTGTCAGTTGGGTGACCTATCAATAATGATACTTGAAGCGGAAATAATTACTGATCACTACAGGGAATAGTATTACTATTATTTTCCACCCTGGAAAAAGTCCTCCCTCCGTAGCTAACTAACAACCCTGTCATGCTCTTACGTTACTTCACCAGAAAGAAAGAGCAAAGGGCAGGGTAAAAAAAAAAATGGATATATATATATATGATCCTATATTATACACCCAGCATTAGCATTAAGAAGAAAGCAGCTTAATTAATTGGAAGATTTGACCTGTGAAATTTGTTTCCAAGTACTATGGTATATATTTAGAAAATCAAATTGGAAGAAAAAACGAAACATTACTAACTTGCACGGAAGATGTTGCTTGCGAAAATTTTAACTTAAAAAAGTGATCATAGGATTAGGAAAGCTCGCATCATACCTTGGCGTGTTCGTATCGATCTGCTGCTCTCAAGTTAGTACTAATTTTAACGTTTGGACCCATATTGTCTACACGAACACGTTCTGTCCAGTTCAATTCGACCAAATTAAAAGACTTCCAACTTGAGTTGTGGCATCCCTCTCTATAGCTAACAATAATATACCATCAAACCTATTCATTCATCAACGATAAGGAGTCCTTGTTCGATCAGAAAGTTCTTTTTTTTTTTGTTGTTTTCGGGTGAATGATAAGCCTTTGGTCCGGTGGAAAATCTGTTCATCATATAGTACCAAGTATAACTATGTCAGCTGCTGCAAGAAACTCTCCCTACAAACTTCAGGATTTGGTCACCCTACTTTACCGTTATAGACTTTCTTCATCGGTGGCAAATGCCGGCAACCGCCAGTTCTTGTCATCCAAGTTCCGTTGTGGCAATTACATGAATCAAGGGTACTTAAGATCATTCACTAGCGCCCCCATCGACCAAGCTGATGCAAAAGGAAAACCCGATTTTCAAATGTAGCAGTCTCTCTCTCTCTCTCTCTCTCTCTCTATATATATCATCTGCTGTCTCATCTTCCATTTTGCTAAATATATTCTTCTTCTTTTTTCTACCTGTTCTTTTGGGGCTGTGTTTTGTTTGTTGTAGATTGAAGGACGCAGAGAAGAAGGTTCAGCCAACGTTGCCGGCTTCTGCTGACAAGCAAAGCTTTTCATCGTGGTAATTAAGAACTAGCTTGTTTGGCATGACTAAGGAGTACGCAGTAGGCATGACTCAGATATGCTCCTCTGAATAATGTGCAATTTTCTTAATGAGTATAATAAGGGTATGGATCATCTGGAGAGTAATGCATATCCCAGCTTGAGTCCTCTCTTAACAAGTGCATATATTAAGTACTCGTTAACCAAACTGATTGTTAAATGCTACTTCATCCAAGGAAAAAGATTGCCAATGTAAAAAACACTTAGTTCTGCCTAACCAAAAAATATATAGCTACTCAAAAGATAACCAATGAATTAGACTTCATAGAAACACAAATTCCCCAGTTAGAAAGGATGATCTATGTCATACCCCACAAACTATGAACCAATCTTTATGCCACATCTAACAGCTAAGAAGAACAGTAATTTACGCTTCTTGCTTATTAATTCAGCCTGCATAAAAGTTTGATTCGTTCGCTGCCTTCAAGTTCCCTCTCAACATTGAAGACACGATCTTTTTATGGATTAAAGGAGAGAACTAAATTCTGCAGGGCCAAGTGGCTTTTGGGTTCTTTGATGACATTATTGTTGCCTTTCTGGAAGCAAGAGTGGGAAAGCTTACGAGGACTGGAAGGTACGTTTGTGTTATGCGTACAAAACAACGATTCTATGGGGCCGGGTATTTGATTAAAAGGTGATTTAATTACTTGGATAGTTGCATCTCACTAAATTAAAGCTTCTTTGAATCATAATCGGGGAGCGTCCAGGGAAGGTGGAAAAGGTCGTTGGAGAGGTAGAAGTTGTAGCGGAGGTGGTGGAGAACGTGGCCACTGTGACGGAGAAGGTGTCAGCAGAGGTGGCTGAAAAGCTTCCGGACAATAACAAAATCAAAGAAGCTGTGCTGGCGGTAGAACACTTATCAAGTGTGGCCGCTCAAGAGGCTAAATTAATCGAAGATTTTATTCACAACGTATGTGGATCAGTTAAGAATAAAAAAGAAAACCATTTGCTGTAAATCAATTACTGGTTCACTAATGGCAGCTTGGCTACTTTGGGTTGACAGGTTGGTGACATGAAGCAAGACCTGAAAGAGATGGAGAAAATAGCAGAGCCTGCAATTGAAAAAGTAGTGGAACCCCATCATCAAGAACAAGCAGCTTAGATGGACGCGATTTTCTCGTGGCAAGGAGTATTTTCCACGGCACTAAACGTGCAATGCTAATTAGTTCCCTGATCCATTTCTGTAAAAGCCTCGTCTTTGTTCTGTAAATAACTGATCAATTCGTACGTGCAATTTGCAGATGGCTATTGAAAGACCAATAAGTTGAGCTTGGAAAATGCTCTTTTAGATTCCACTTGATGATCGAATTTTGCGTAATTAACAGTCTATTAATTGTTTTTGTTCTTCTGAAAGCCATGCAGCTTCATCATAGACTATATCTGTTTAAGCATTTAACTTCCAGCCAAGAAGCTACATTTGTGTCTCTTCCAACTCCATGCATCTCCCAAATTACCTTAGTACAATATGTAGCCATCATTGTCCTATTTGCGAAAAGTTCCATACCGCCATCATTGTCAAAAAAAATAATTAATTAAAATTAAAATACTACTCCCACCTAGAATTTTACAGAAAATAAAAAATAAAAAATAAAATACTACTCCCTTCCACGTGACATGTTACACGTTAGGCGATGGATGTCATTGTAGCAAAAAACTAATTCTAGTGTCCATGTAAGATCTATGTTGGTAGGCCATATATAATAACTTCTGTAAGTGACCATGTCCTAAGCCATAGTAGTGATTAAATTCGAACCCATTTGAACTTTTAATTAGTAAAAAAATTTATTGGAGAGACCCAGCAGAATTAATAACAGAGGCAGCAGAAGCCCCTCAGATTTCAGAATTGAATGAAAGTCTGTGGAATGCGGATTAATACCACGTAACAACCCATAGGCTTTTTTATCCGCCGCTCTATATCACGTCAATAATGAGTGTGTCTAGGTAGGTAGCAGATTATTCGAAATAATTTTTTAAAAAAATTATTATAATATTTTTTTAATATAATATATATAAAATAAAAATATTATTGAAAAATATGTTAACAATACAAACAACTATTTTCTAATCCATGATGAAGATTAAGGATCATTCTTTTATAATTGGGTAGATAAGATTTTGTTAATATCCGAAAAAGATACAAAATACAAGGGGCATACCCTATCCGGCCATAAATCAACCAACAAAGACACAGATACGCTCACACTGTTGACAAATTATCATTTAGAGAGAAATTACGCGTATTTCTTCTCTCGGTATAATCCCTGAAAAAATCGCTAAATGGATGATAGCTTGAAGGTTCAAATCTTCAGCAGAAAGCTGATAAAACCATCAAATCCAACTCCAAGTCATCTTAGAAGCTTCAAGCTTTCATTGTTCGATCAGCTAGCTCCTCCACTATATGTTCATATACTCTTCTATTACTTGCTTGATGAAGATCACAATCGAGCCGAAAACGATGAGAGATTTGCTCAAATGCAGAAATCCTTGTCCCGGGTATTATCCAAGTATTACCCTCTAGCTGGCAGATTCCTTAAAGATGAACTCTTGATTGATTGTGCGGATCAAGGAGTTGAATACTTTGAGGCACATGTCAATGGAGAACTTGTGGAGTTTCTTCAAGAAGGACCAGAGATTGAGCTTCTGAATAAATTTCTGCCCTGGAATCCTCCTCCGTCGCCATATCTGGCAACAAGTCCACTAGTAGCAGTCCAAATCAACAAGTTTGAATGTGGAGGAGTAGTGGTAGGCATCCAAATTTCACACTTCATTGTAGATGCCAGTTCAATGATGACATTCCTGAAGGAATGGGCTAACAGCTGCACTAGCCCGACAGAGATGTATCCAGTGCTCAGTCCTAATTATAATGATCACTTTGTTTCAATCTTCCGGCAAGAACACTATCAGGGCCTAAACCCCGGACCAGCCGACTACCCTGCTAAGATAGTCACGCAAAGATTCTTGTTAGATGAAACGATAATAGAGAAGATCATGGAAGGAGCTGCTTTATCTTGTTCAAAATGTAATTTTCATCCATCTAGAGTGGTGGTAGCGTTAGCACTGATATGGAGGGCTCTCCTAGGAGTATGTCTTGCCAAACATGGGCACTTCAGGGACTCAATTGTTGCTATTGCAATGAACTTGAGGGGGAAAACAGCTCTAACAATATCAGAACCAAATTATGGGAACTTTTGGACCTCGGTCATAGTTCCATTGGAAGCGAAAAAAGCCAAGATACAGTTGCAGGAGCTGATGATATTACTCGATAATAGAATAAAATCCACAAGTGAAAAACTTGCAACAGCTAGTCCTGAGGATATTTCATCAATGCTGATCGACTCCCGCAGAGAGATTATTGAGAAACGTTATCTGTCCGTTGGTATAGATGTTTACGTTTGTACCAGTTGGTGTAGGTTCCCGATACATGAAGTTGATTTTGGTTGGGGAAAACCACATTGGGTAAGTCATGCAAGCAAAGCAATTGAGGCGATTGGTTTGGTGGATGCCAAAAAGGGAGAGGGGCTTGAAGCATGGGTAAGTTTGAAAGAGGAGGACATGATCGAATTCAAAAGAGCACTGGAAGTTTTAGTGCCAGTGCCCAAATGATAATTCTAGCGTCCTTGAAGTTTATACTGTGATTCCACTTTGATTAGCTACATTTTACGGTAACATCGAATCTTGTTTTCCCGTCCTTTGTACTGCAGTTATGGTGCTAATATTCTGAAAATCATGTTTAGAATTTGTTTTTCATCTTATACTTTTTTCTGACAAACTAAGACAATGCCAGTACTATTTATTTATTCGATTAACAGATCAGCAGAGTGAGGTGTCTCCTGCAATTCAACCGTGTAAATCTTCCTGTTTGAAAGAACTAGTTTTGCCAAGGGACTTATCACTTATCAGGGCTATTCCCCTGATCGTTTCAAACTTTAGCTCATATCTAATGCAGTCAGCTGAAGCTACATTATCCTCAATCACATGAAAATTGCCAAATTGCGTCAGACATGCTAGATTGGAAAAGACCTCACAGAAAAAGAACCTCCCAAGTCTTTAAAGAGGAAGTTCAACATTGTATCATCTTTTGATCTTTCAGAATGGTATTCCTATATACATCAGACAGGCTTCAAGAAGTAAACAATTTTCAGACAACTATTGCACAAATTGCAGCTAAAATGCATAAATCAGGAAAAAAGAATGACACGCAATGCATGACAGTAGAAAGAACATATAATGACTATCACTAGAATAAGGTTATATTATTATCTGTATGTCAATCCTTTTGTCACTTCAATCTGAATTGAAATCATGAAAACTGTCAGTTCATCTCTTGATCATGCCTGAATAGCAATCATCCAGTGCTGATTTTGCCGCTGGAAACAGAGAAGCTTACAAGTCAGATCCATTTATTTAGCTCCCAGCGCTGGGTTTACCATTCTTGTTGCTAATTAAGTTCGGAAAACCATTTGAACTGAAGTCATATATGTGGCCCAATTTGACACGTTTAGTTTCCAAATATCTCTTGTTCTCTTTTGTAATGAAACTTTGAAGAGGGACGCGCCCAGCAACCGCTAGACCATAGCCCTTGAGCCCACTGTACTTTGCAGGGTTGTTTGTCATCAGCTTCATTCCACCCATGAGGAACCAATAGACTTCCACCCCTGGCTGACTCTTGAACATTCACCTACGGATGCTTCTTAGACTGAAACAAAGATAACTTTTGCAACATTTCCTTCTTTTGTAGAACTTCCTAAATCTGTTCTTGTTGCCATTATTATTGAACTTGGGTGTAGATATCATGTTTTAGCTATTTCTCTATCTCTGGGTCCCCTGTTGTTGATGTATCTTTGCCTATTCAGTGGCTTTTGAATCCTTAAGCTGCTTCATTGGAGAGGAAACTCACTGTGATTTAATCTTTTTCCATGGTTAGTCTGTTAACCTGAACAGTATCATGAGTACAAGTGCGTTCCACAGAGAGAGAGGGAGAGAGGGGACCTGAGTACTATCATGTTTACAAGGGTATTACACGAAGAGAGAAACAGGTGTGTGTGTGTGTGTGTGTGTGTGTGTATAGAGAGAGAGAGAGAGAGAGAGAGAGAGAGAGAGAGAGAGAGAGTAAAGCTACAGGAAAATTGTCAGATATGGTGTTGAATTCTGCTTAAAATCATTTAGCTCATCAACAATCAGCCCGGAAAAAACAGGCTACTGCCACCTTATATTAATTTCCTTATTTGTTGGTAATAGTTTATGTGGTGGATGAATATTAGCAGGATGCAATGGGAGTTGATGACTAAGACCTTGAATAAACCAAGAGTAGTCATACCTTTGAAGTAGTATGCACCATGGATTTCTTATATTAGCATTGATATACCATATATTTGGTCAGCCATGATATTTTTATATTAAGAGCAGAAGATGTTATCATAAAGCTATGTGGCTTTTCCCTTTCATTTAAATTTCATAGCAGTTCTGCAGTTGTTTAATCTGTGTCAATGTTGCACTTACTGAAGGGTAAACATGGAGTAAAGTCTTAAGAAAACAGACTCGACTCTTAAGCGCAGATTAATTTTTTTGTACGCACAGGTGTCATTTTGAGTTTTTCTTTTCAGTTTTAATCTTCATGTGCGTCTGAATCAGGTAATTGAGAGTCCTAATCGTAGATCATATGAGGTTGGGATTGCTGTATAAATAGCATGTATGGATCTATTATCCTGGGTTCTTACCTTTAGCACTAATTTATATTCTCTTTTCAAGTCTGATGGTTCTAATGAGGAGTTTTTTTGGAAAGATATAGTGCCTAACTATGAAATGGTTTACCCATAGTATATGTTTTATGATCGTCTTAACCTCCTTTCTCAAGGGGAAAAGATTGATGAAGATGCTTCATCTGGGGATGCATTTGAAGATGCGCTTGAATCTGAATTCTTGACCGCTGATATTGTAGATTCTGAGGAGGTTTGTATTATATGCCCCAACTTGTTCCCAATAGAGTTTTTTCTTTTTCTTTTTTTTTTGAAAAACCTCTTGTATTTAAATTTGATAGGAACACAAACTCTTGACATGTTCTTTAGTGCTAAAACTGTCTTTTACACCTTGTTCTCCTGTGAGGATAATTAGTATGACATTTTCTTTTTATTTAAAGCTTTGTGAGCTGATGGTATTGGTAGAATTGTTAGAATTAACATACGTCTTTTGCCAATAAAGAATCAGAAGTCATGATTGGTTTTGACCTTAGTGGTGTTAGTTGCTTTCAGATTTCTAAGCTTATTGTTGTCAGTCTGTTTAATTTTTTCTAAGACTTTACTGTTAATTATCTTTTTATTAGTATGCCATATTCCTCATTCTTAGTTGATACTAATTTATCAGGAGGTGCCAGTGGGCTTAGAGGAGCCATCTGGGGGCAACGATTCAACTCTGCTGCCTATTCTTTGTGTTGAAGATGGATTGGTGATTCTACGTTTTTCAGAAATTTTTGGCCTTTATGAGCCTTTAAAGAAGTCTGACAAAAGGGAGCGCAAATATCCTGTTCCTAGAGGTATATATTTTCTGTACCTGAATGTTTCGAGTATATTGCTGCTAATAAATTTTATGGCAGTAATATATTAATCACTTGCGCTTATTCACCTTATGCATCTCTTTATGGACTTCCAGTTTAGCCATTGGTCCTTTCCTCATGTTGAATGTTTTCAGATAAATTCAAGACTATGGATACTCCAGAAAATGTTGAAGAAGATGAGGAAACATTCTTGAAGGGATCCGGCTTAGATGTGTCTGGTACGAGACAAGCCCAAGTGGCTCAACACAATGTTTTAACATTTATGGACGATGATTTAGGATCGGGGAAGTTTGGTGTTATCCAGGAAGATGGTAAAATTGATGCAGAAGTTGACCAGTGTAGAAAAGATTCTTGTCAGAGTTCTGAACCATTTAAAGAAGATTTGCCAGTGATGCTTCCTCCAGAGTGGAACTCACCTATTTGTCCAAAGTTTTACCCTCTTGATCAACTAAACTGGGAGGATAGGATAATTTGGGATAATTCTCCAGCACAGAGTTCCAGTGTTGAAGAGAGTTGTGAGATGTCTGGACCTGATTCTGACGTACTGGGTGATAAGAATTTTGAGGCCGATACTCACCCTCTGGTGTCAGATCTTGAAAGAGAACGTTGTGAACATGAACATCCTTTTCGTCATGGTTTTTCCATATCACCAGAGCCCTTTGGTTCAGGAAGTCTTTCTGAACCTTCGAAACTGCCTTACTGTGAAAGAATGTATCATCCTCAACTTTTAAGGTTAGAGTCTCGATTTGATCAAGATGATCCAAATAATACTGACCTTGGACATGAAGGAGGCTCTGAAAAAGTTCTAGGTAATGGTGTCATAAGCCGTTTTAATAGGCTTATGTTAGAGAATGGAGATCTGCAGAAGGATCTTGGTTGGACAATATAATTTGGGATTCAAATCAGCCCATTTCAAAGCCGAAGCTGATATTAGATTTCCGAGATGAACAAATGCTTTTTGAAATTCAAGATAATAAGGACAGTAAGCATCTTAGGCTTCATGCTGGTGCTATGATTATAACCCGTTCAGTCAAGCCTAGTACTGGTGACTCTGTCGAGCTACATAGTCATGGAGGTCTTTCAGGAGGTAGGTTTAACATCTCAAATGACAAATTTTACTCAAATAGGAAATCTTCCCAGCAGGTGAAATCACATATGAAGAAGCGTACAGCTCATGGTCTCAAAGTTCTGCATTCAATTCCAGCACTTAAGCTGCAGACGATGAAAGCTAAGCTAAGCAAGTAAGGGTTGAGTGCCACATTCTTTTTGTAGTTCTTTTACCATAGATGGTCTGTTTTACTTTGTTTAACATGTGTAAATTTTTATGCTTGAGGCTTGGCTGTTTATTCAGCAAGTTGATCTTCTTATTAAGTTCCAATCTTGACCCTTTGTCAGTTTTCTTACTTGTCTACTTTTCCTGTTCTAATCTTCTTTTGAACTTATTGTCTTAGTTCATGTTGTTTTTTTTGTTAAAATGTCATCTCTTATCCAGTATGTGAGGTTATTTTTGTCTTCTACTTGCATTGGATGCTCTGTTTCCTATTCGTATTATGGCTTTGAGTGCGTGTTAGTCTGCTACTGCTTATTGTGAATTTTTTGATGTACTTTCAGTAAAGATATTGCTAATTTCCATCGACCAAAAGCTTTATGGTATCCTCATGATAATGAGGTGGCACTGAAAGAACAAGAGAAGCTGTCTACGCAAGGACCTATGAAGGTCATAGTAAAGAGTTTGGGAGGCAAAGGATGTAAACTTCATGTGGATGGCGAGGAGACCATCTCTTCAGTTAAAGCTAAAGCTTCAAAGAAACTAGGTCTCACTTTTATTATGCTTCTGATGTTACTAAATTTCGTTGTTAAAATCTAGTTGTTCTTCGTTTGCTATAGAATATGGAAATATTGTTTTATCTCTTGCTTGTAGATTTTAAATTGTCTGAGCCAGTGAAAGTGGTTTATTCTGGAAAGGAGCTAGAAGACCACAAGGCTCTTGCTGCACAAAATGTGCGACCAAACTCCTTGTTGCACCTTGTTCGTACAAAAATCCATTTACTAC